TCCTGAGCTTGCTATCGTCAGCAGGAATGGCCAGTTGTAGCCCATGCACAGTAATGAACTGAGTGATATGTCTAGTCTATAATTAATACTGGAGCTCTAGGTTGTGTTTTGAATAGCAGTCTTGACTGAAAGACTTCAAGAAGTAGAGTTCTATAACACTCTTTTGCTCAGTTGTTAATCCTTGTTACTGAAAAGCATGATTGGAGCAGCCTAGCCTTGGCTTTCTGCAGTTGGTGCTGGTTATGACCTTTAATAGACCTCTGTTACCAGAAGTCACCTAGTGCAGGTACCTCTGGGCTGCGTTCAGGTAATGGCTTGGCTGCCTCTCGGCTAAAATAAATAACAAGCTGCTTTGATCTTACTGAACTGGAAGTTTCAATCATGAGTGCTCTTGACTCGGACAAATGAAAACGTTATGTCAGAGGAATGAGCTGTTTATTGGCCCTATAACTAGCAACATATTCCATTAGACTCAAGTGTTGTGAGTGAGGGTGTTCATAGCGATGCGGTGTTGGCCATCTGGGCATTGGTCTTCATGCTGTGTTTGAGCTTCTTGGGTTGGGTCCCACAGTCCCTCGTGCTGTCAGCGTTGCAGTGTGAGCTCCTGTTCGGGCTTTATGTACTAACTGCCCTCACTGGTCAAGGGACACAGCTGCCAGAGGAGACGTCCAGACTTGGCTGGCTCTGAGCTGGTACAAACCAAAAAGATGTTTGGGAAGGAACTTGTGATGACCTGATCTTGTATGCTTAAACTGTACTTTTCAAAAGTGGCTGTAGTATGCAAGTCCTTAGATACGGTAAGAGAGACTGCATCCCTTTAGCTAGGGCTCCCTGGCTGAGTTTGAGTTTCCTCACAGTAGTGGCATTAGGTGTTGTAGAGAGGAGCTGCGGACTCACCCAGTTGATTCACCATCTGTGTAAGAATGAATCTTGACTGAAGTGTTCATGGTATTTATAAGAATCGTAATTCTGTTCTCTAACTATAATTTTATTTGGAGCAAGATCTGTGAAGCTTGATTATTCATATACTCAAGTCTAAATGATTTTTTTTGTGGGGGAAAAAAGACAACCACCGTTTCGGCCATCTTGTTATATAAATCATCAAAATGTGACCTCAGTATGAGAGCAGTAAGATACATTTTGGGACAAAACTATTCACTCTGATAAAAATACTTTAGAATTGTCATTAATGGATCATGATTTCTAAAGCAGTTTTAGTTGCTATTTAAGCAGTACTGCAGTCTTCAGATCCTAGATAGTTCATCTCCACAGTTCTGCATGGAGATGGGAACCTGGCTACAAAAATATTTTTCTGTCTGCGTTGTTCACGTTAAGTGAATTTTACAAACAGATCATGTACATACTGAAAATTAAATTCAATTTTGAAAATTACTAGTAGTACTAATCAGATGTAGATGGTATATTATTTTAACCTAGCAGTATGGTGTTCTTTAATTTACTTCAGGCTCCAGTAACGTAACTCTACTTAAGATTTTTGGATGCAGGCTGTACTCTAAAATAGCTTAGCACATGTCAGCCACCAAAAAATACATGAGCTAGGGTGGATGCTTCAAGCTCCAGTAGCAATTTAAGTGCCTCCCTCTCATTAAATTTGTAGAGTTTTATGAATATGAAAGAAGACACTAGTTCATCTTCATCATTCTTAAACAATTTTGACTTATCTTCTGCTGTTGAGGAAATGTTCCTAGCCATACAACTAATTTTCTTGGAGAATCTGAAAAAGCAAGAGTCTATTATTATGGTAGCAGAAAGAATTGACTCCAGTTTCTCTAATAACACTCAGAGAGCAGGAAAACTTTATTTTCAATAAGGTAAGTTAGTATTTTTCAAAAAACTTTTTTATTACTCAAAATATTTTTTTAAGAAATTGTGAAGTCAAAATGCAGACTAAAGGAGTATTTTAATTAAAACTACATAAAACATGTATTACTAGGTTAAAAGCGGCATGAGCAAAATATTACTTACATGCTGGAAAAACTTGAGGTCACTTCAGAGCTGTTCTGCTTTTTATATGTTGTCCTCCAGCAAGTCTGTAATTTGGCTGAGGCTAGAGTTGAGGATTTTCTTTTCTTGTGTACTCATGATTGTCATCAAGCATTTTCTTCAAACTTAAAAAAAAAAAAAAGGAGGAGGTGCAATTTAAAACCTTAGTGGTGGTGGGAAAACAGTTTGTTAACCCATACAACAAACAAGTCCATTAAGAAAATAAACTGGCACATTTTGACTGCTTAAGCCATGTACATTTTGAGTTACCTTTTTCTATTATATTCCTTATATTTTTTAAGTCCCCTTGGATAAGCCCGCTCCATCTCACAAAGACTGGAAATTTTCAGCATCCTTTTTGGCTCTGGAGTAATACTGAAGCTAGAGAGATGCCCATTGATTTCAAAGGTAGAGGAATAAGACCTTTCACCTG